ACAGGCTCTAGAGCAATGTGGATATCCTAACTGGGCCTTCCTGAAAGCAGAGAAGAAACCCAAACAGGACTCCAGTCAGCCATCAGGTGAAAAGGAGGAACCCAGACCCAGACCAGTGGTCATTCCATATGTTGAGGGAGTATCAGAGAAACTGAGACGTTTATTTTCTAAACATAACGTCCCAGTGGCTTTTAAACCCCAAAATACATTCCGGCAAAGACTGGTTCATCCCAAAGATCCAGTCCCCCGGCACAAACAGAGTAATATTGTGTAAGCTGTTCAGTGTCAGGAGGGTGATCAGTCTTACATCGGGGAAACAAAACAGCCACTGGCCAAAAGGATGGACCAGCACAGAAGATCAACATCATCAGGCCAGGACTCTGCGGTCTACACTCATCTCCAGGCCAGCGGTCACTCTTTCAGGGATGAAGATGTTCACATCCTGGACAGAGAGGAACGATGGTTTGAGAGAGGAGTAAAGGAGGCCATCTTTGTGAAAAGAAATTGTCCATCATTAAACAGGGGTGGAGCCTCCGGGTTCAACTGTCCCCCTCTTATAATGCTGTTATTGCTAGTATCACTCAGCCCTCTGTGAACAGTAAACAGCCATCAGGTGCTAATGACCCATTGTTAGGCTGATGGTCCTTCTTGAGCATGTGATCAGCTGGTTCTGGTTGTCAGCAGCAAACTGGTTGATCCACTCTGAGAAGGTGCTATTTAAGAGACTGAGCTGAAAACAGCACCTCAGACTGAGGAAGTCTCTCGGATGAGAGACGAAACGTTTCTATATTTTTTTGCTTTGTTTTGTTTTTTGTTTTTCTGAATGTCCAGAGGACCAGATTGAACTTTTTTGGATAATGAAGTGCCATTTTCTTTCCAGCTTTCTAGATCCCTGTTTTAAAGTATGTAACTCAAAATTCAACCAAGGAGCCAGCTTCTTCTGACTGATTACTTTCTTTTTCAGCAGAGCATTTTTATCAAGTGAAATTTGCATTTAAGATGTGATTTTATCAACCAGATGTTCTAAGTCATTTGCAATTTAGGGCTAGGGTTAGGGTTTACTATTGTTGAATGTAACTGGGACCCTGGGTACACAATGTCATTACACCTCATGTACCACATTCAATTCAATTCAGTTTATTTATATAGCGCCAAATCACAACAAAGTTGTCTCAGGGCACTTTACAGGAACATTCACATAAAAGCAAATTAGTAAAGTTCTCTATCTAAGGAGGCCAGCAGACAAGTTGAATCTTGTCTTCGTTGCAGTCTCCCATCCTGAGCAAGCACAGTGGAGACAGTGGAAAGAAAAAACTCCCTTTTAAAAGGAAGAAACCTCCAGCAGAACCAGGATCAGGACAAGAGACCATCTGCTTTGACCGGCTGGTTGAGAGGACAGGAAGGAGAGACAGACAAACACTGAATGGTAGGTCCAGGTATAGGTCCAGGTCCAGGTCCAGGTGTATCTGAAAGACCAAAAAAAAAAACACGTTAAGATTAGAAAAAAATAAATTACAAATACAAAACAGGTTAATCAGAGTCAGTAAAGACAGTAGCAGAGTGAAAATTGTGGTAAGTTTGTCCTCCAGCAGTCTAAGTCTATAGCACCATAACTAAGGGACAGCTCAGGAAACCCAAGCCGACTCTAACTATAGGATTTATCAAAAAGGAAAGTCTTAATCCTAGTTTTAAAACTGGACAATGTGTCAGTCTCACGGACAGAGATTGGAAGTTGGTTCCACAAGAGAGGAGCTTGATAACTGAAAGATCTGCCTCCTATTCTGTTTTTGTAAACTCTAGGAACCACAAGTAAACCTGCAGTCTGAGAGCGAAGCGCTCTGTTAGTAAAATATGGAACAATAAGATCTGTAATATAAGATGGAGCTAGGTTGTTGAGAGCTTTGTAGGTTAGAAGTAAGATTTTGAATTCTATTCTGGATTTGACAGGGAGCCAATGAAGATAAACTAAAACTGGAGAGATATGATCTCTCCCAGTAACTCCAGTTAAGACTCTGGCAGCAGCATGTTGGATCAACTGAAGACGTTTTAAAGAAGTATTTGGACACCCAGATAATAAACCATTGCAATAGTCCAGTCTAGACGTGACAAATGCATGGACCAGTTTTTCTGCATCATCTTTAGATCACATGTTTCTAATGTTAGTGATATTACGCAGGTGGAAGAAGGAGGTTCTAGTAACGTTTTTAATGTGGGGGATAAAAGACGTGTCCTGATCAAAAATAACACCAAGATTTTTAACATTAGAGCTGGAGGACACATTAATGCATCTAAGGAGGGAGAAAGACTGAAAAATTCATTCCTGCTTATTGCATAACTCTGCAAGACAGAGTAAAATATCAATGGAATGGTTAATGGTAAATGGACTGTACTTATATAGCGCCTTTCTATCATCTTATTTCAAGATACTCAAAGCGCTTTACACTACAATCTGTGTCCTCATTTACCCATTCATGCAGCACTCTACATCACTACAAAGCTAACTGAACACATCATTCTAATGAGACTAATCAGTGCTTTTTTAGATCACATTCATACACTGATGGGACACACATCAGAGGCTATGAGGGGTTCAGTGTCTTGCCTAGGGACACTTCGGCATGTGACTGCTGGTGGATTCGAACCCCCAGCTCTCACTTTGGAGGACGACTGCACAAACCACTCAGCCATAGCCGGCCTGGAAGAGTTTTTTTTAATTAGGTTACAGCTTTCTCTAATAAACACCTGCTAAAATTAAATTTACTCTCGGTGACTGTGTAGTCAGTTAACTTAAACTCAAAGATTATTAAAAATTGGTCAGACACAACAGGACTTTGAGGAAATATTACTAAGTTATTACGGTAATCTCAATGCCATATGTCAGAACTAGGTCAGTGATGAGAGTGAGAAGGTGTTCGGACATTTTGAGTAAAACCATTTGACTCTATTAAGTTTTTAAAGGCTATGTTTAGGCTATCACTTTCAACATCTACATGAATATTGAAACCCCCCATTATCATGACTTTATCAGTATAGTATTCAATAATAAGTCAGAAAAACAAAAAACAAGAATTCAGATAAAAACTGAGAATGAGGGCCTGGTGGACGATATACAACAACTCGTAAAAGTTGAAAATTGTTGGATTGTATACCTGGATTATTGAGCATGGACTTTTTGGTTAACTAGTAAAAGTGACTTTTCTGATTTCCATTTTGAATGAGAAAGGGACAACGAATCAAAAGAATTATAACTAATCGCTGGTGTAGTATTAGTCATTTATCCTGACTGAAAAATAGAAGCTACTTTTCCACCTCGACTGGTTGTTCTAGGAACATGAAAATTTAAATAATTAACAAGAGTGGATTCATTTATATTAACAAAATCCTTCTGTTGTAGCCAGGTTTTTGTCAGACAGAATAAATCAATATGATGATCAGTTATCAGATCATTAATTAACAGGGACTTAGAGGAAACAGATCTGATGTTCAATCATCCACATTTGTTTATTTTATTATTTTGTTCCAGTAAAGTACCTCTGTTTATATTAATAAGGTTTTTATTATTTACTGTACATCTTTAAAGCTGATTTTTGAGTGATTGAATTTGAGGTGTGGGCAAGCTGGTTCTGTTGTGTGTGTGTGGGGGTGTGGGGGTGTGGGGGGGTGTGGGGGTTACAGGAGAAGCAGCAGAGAGATGTGGAAGACTAAAACTCTCCTTCCTGGACTTGTGTCTAGACTGGACCCTGGGTTGTCAATAATTTGGATGACTAACAAAATCAGCCAAATTTCTAGAAAGAAGAATGGTGTCGCCCAAAGTGGAATGAATGCCATCTCTCCACATGAGACCAGGTTTTCTCCAAAAAGCACTCCAATTATCTAAGTAACCCACATTGTTTTCAGAACATCAAATGGGCACCCAGTGGTTGAACAATGACATACGACTAAACATGTTGTCACTGGTCAGGTTGGGGAGGGTGCCAGAGAAAATTACTGAGTCTGACATGATTTTAGTGAAGTCACACACCGAAGCAACATTCATTTTAGTGATCTCCAACTGGCGTAACCAATGTCATTACCACCAACATAAATAACAATGTTATTGTATTTAGCCTTAGCTTTAGCCAGCAGTTTCAGGTAGAATTCAATATTGTACTTGTATTTACTTATATAGCGCTTTTCTATCTTATTGTGATACTCAAAGCTCTTTACACTACAATCTGTGTCCTCATTTACCCATTCATACAGCACTCTGTTAGATGTCTACAAAGCTAATTGAACAAATCATTCTAAAGAGACTAATCACAGCTTTATCACATTCATACACCAATGGGATACACATTGGAGGTAACAAGGGGTTCAGTGTCTTGCCCAGGGACACTTCTGCATGTGACTGCTTGAGGATATTGCCTGCTCTGGCCCCCAAAATGCATTTAACTATGGTCATTGGAGTCCCTAAAACTGCGTTTTGGATTATGGAACTGCCAGTAACCAGGGTCTGCTTCTCAACGGGTGTATCACTGAGAGGAAAACCGATTAGATACATGAATGGGTCGATGGTGAGCTAGTCATAATGAATCACTGTTTAACATAAAATCATACATCTTTGGCAGCATAACAATGCTCCCCTGTTCATGCAGCAAGAAAGGTGCAGACAGATCTTTTAAGTATGTAGATGTTAAGTGTGTATATTTTCTATTTTGATTTTGAATGAGCTTATAGGATACACAGAAAACCCATGGTTTCTCATGTTGCCTTCTTTCGTCATTAGGAAACGAAGGAAATCTTTTCCAAATTGACGAGGACACGGGTAACATCACGATGATCAAAGCTGCAGATACTGTTGGCCCAATTATCCTGACTATATTGGTAAATTAAAAGGTTATGTTTTGAATTTGAACAAAAAAGGTAAATTCTGCAACCCTTTCTACAATAAAGCCACCTGATGTTTGATGTATTTCTTTTGCTGGCAATAAGGCATCACAGGTGACCAACAGAGATCAGTTTGCAGTGACACAGGTGACCTTTGATGTGATGAAGAAGAGTAGAAACCCTCCTCGCTTTGAGAAAGAACGATATGAAGGATTCATCTACAGTAACTCTGTCCCAGAGAGTATGATTCTCCGAGACCGAAGCACTAACCGTCCATTTAGGGTCAGAGCTCGTGATGAGGACTTTGCTACTGTAAGTAATCAACACTACACAATATGTTGACTGTATCAGCATTGTAGCTATTTAGAAAGCACCTTGTTGGTTTAAAAATACTCTAATATCATTCGAACAAAACAACAATATTACAGTGGTCCCTTAATACTTTGCGGTCTGACTTTTGCGGACTCGCTTTTTTGCAGATTTTCCAAAGTACAAAATAAATAAACCACCATTTTGTAGTTCTCTCAATAAGCCTATATTGTATTGCCATCTAAAAGCCTACACTACCCAGTAGACAAAGTTGCTTTCTGCTTAAATGGCAGGGAAGTTATGATCCGATTCTGTAAGGTTTCTAACACCCAGATAAATACTAACCAAAAGCAAACAGACTTCAAGACCAGGGAAAGTTAAACAGTGTTTATTTACAAAAGTGAAAACGATGATATTGGTGAGGTAACTATCCGGGGAGAGGCTGGAACCCTGGAGAGCAAGGAGCAAAGTTAAAGCTGGCCAGGAGAAATCTCAAGGGCAGTAAAATGTCCAGAGAAGTAGTTCTTACTGTAGGAGAAGGAGGTAAGTCAGTGGATGTCCAAAAAGGTTTCCAGGAGATCCTGTGTAGGTGAGCAGGTGGTGGAAGGCAAGGAGCAGCTTGAGATGAGTCCAGGAAGGGTCGAGAGTAATTATCATGAGATCCAGGATACAGGTGAAACACAGAGGTCAGAGCTGTAGCATGAGCACAAAGATTAATAATTTTAAAGCACAAAAAGCAAATGTTCAGGCCAGGAGCTTACTACCAAAGGCAGACAATGCAGCAGCGTAGAATGAAGTCCTCAGCTGGTATTTATACTTCTGCTGCTCGTTATTCCTCAATGGATCTCAGGTGTGTCTTTGTTGGCACCCTCTGGTGGAGAAGAGCTGTGGAGCAAAAGGCTGGAATTCCCACAGATTGGAAAAGTTCAGTCCTTACATTATTCATAGTGACTTCAGCACTCAGTGGATACAGAGTCTCGCTCAAAACCGGACCAGAATCGGACCAAGGCTGGGTAGGTCTGCCGAACCAGAACTGAGCTGCTGTGTTCTACAAAGCTGGTGAGATGACAGAGGTCCCTTAATAATACTGTTCAGACAGGACAGAGATCCCTCAATTATACTGTAACAAAAGTAAATGGTAAATGGACTGTACTTATATAGTGCTTTTCTATCTTATTGACATACTCAAAGCACTTTACACTACAATCTGTGCCCTCATTTACCCATTCATACAGCACTCTACTAGATCTCTACAAAGATAATTGAAGAAATCATTCTAAAAAGACTAATCAGTGTTTTAGGTCACATTCATACACTGATGGGACACACATCAGAGGCAACTAGGGGTTCAGTGTCTTGCTCTTCCACAATTGTTGCAGAAATTCTCCCTCGACACTCTACATTCATCATACATACACAAGAACCAACAATATAACATAAAAAAACACGTTACCACTTGGAATGGGGCCGATCTGATCTGGTATCGATACCAGCCTCCGATACCAACATAATTTACGTATCGGATTTTTCCGATCCAGCATGCAGAGATTTCTGATCCATGATGCATGTCTGTGTCTGCTGAAATGTACAAGTTGGCTTCAAACTATGGAATGGATTTCCTGAACGGAGGCGTGTCTCATGAAACCCAGACTAAAAAGTCCCGCCTCACATTCAGGAAATCCATTTCATAGTTTGCAGCCAGCTAAAATGAGGGTAAATACTCTTTTTATAAGGCTCTGCTAAGGACTGAGCAGCACTGTGGCTAACAGCTAACCAACTTTTCAACAAAACATGTCCACTGTGTGGAAGTATTTTACACTAAACACCGCAAGACAGCAACATGCAATGTCTGCAGAGCCGCTTTACTGAGAGGAGAAAGTTCCGTCACGACCTACAATACATCAAACTTAATAAACAGTTGAAAAAGCACCAGAAGGACAAGGATTGTTTAGCCAAGCACCGCGGTAAAGTTAGTTTTACATTGGAAGTTGGAGCTCCGTTGCTTCAGCAATGTGTTCCTCTCGTTCAGCCCGCAGCAGGCAGTTTGATTTTGGTCAGCCGCGCTCGGTCTGCTCGTCTTGGAGGAGGGGTAGACTGAGTGCGGCTGACTGAAATCAGACTGTCTGCTTCACAGCTTGAATGAAAACCTGCAGCCAAAATATAGTTTACGTTTACCCTCCAAGAGATATCCATCAGTACAACAGTAGACAATCATAAAAAAACATATGAATTGAAAAATAAAATAAAATAATATTTAAAAAAGAAACAAGAACAGTTGCATTATAAAGTGATGTAATACGCTAAAAACAGGAGCATGTCTGTGTTGGTTTTTGCCATGAACTTAGCAGATGTTTGAAACCATTTAATCACTTTAATATCCACTTTAATATCCACTTCGGCACATTGTTTTTATGCCGAAGTGCTTAGTGTATATTTAGTTTATGTTTTTCTTAGTTCATATCTTAGATCTTATTGCTGTTTTTCTTTTACATTTTATACTTTTGTTGGAATGTATTAGAGTAGTAATGTAGTAGAGGTGAAGAGAGTGTCAGATAGGGTGATGTGTCTGAAGGTAGAAGTAGAAGGTCTGATGCTAAACATCGTCAGTGGTTATGCTCCACAGGTTGGATGTGATGAGGAGGAGAAAGATACATTTTGGAAAGATCTGGATGAAGTGATAGAGAGTATTCCCAGGGAGGAGAGAGAGGTGATCGGAGCAGACCTGAATGGACACGTTGGTGAAGGAAACAGAGGGAATGAGGAAGTGATGGGTAGGTCAAAGAAAGAAAACAGGAAGGACAGATTGTGGTGGATTTTGCCAAGATAATGGAAATGGCTGTAGTCAATACCTATTTCCAAAAGAGGGAGGAACATAGAGTGACCTATAAGAGTGGAGGAAGGAGTACGCAGGTCGACTACATTCTGTGTAGAAGAGGAAACCTGAGGGAGATTGGGGACTGTAAGATTGTGGCAGGGGAGAGCGTGGCCAGACAGCATCGGCTGGTTGTGTGTAGAATGACTGTTGGTGTGAAGGAGAGAAAAAGAGTCAAATCAGAAAAGAAGACCAAATGGTGGAACTGAAGAAAGAAGAATGTTGTGAGAAATTCAGAGAGGAGCTGTTAAAGGCTCTGGGTAGTAAGAAAGAGATCCAAATGACTGGGCTACTACAGCAACAGTAATTAGAGAGACAGGTAGGAAGGTACTTGGTGTGTCATCTGGACAGAGAATAGATGATAAGGAAACCTGGTGGTGGAATTTAAAGTGCAGGATACTGTTCAAAGAAAGAGATTAGCCAAGAAGAAATATGACAGTGAGAGGACTGAAGAGAGGAGACAGGAATATAAGGAGATTGGACGTAGAGCAAAGAGGGAAGTAGCTAAGGCAAAGCAGAAGGCATACAATGAGTTGTTTTTTCATTCAACCTTTATTTAGACAGGTAAATCCCATTGAGCCTCGAGGAGTCATTTACAAAAGAGACCTGATTTCAACAAAGAATGATGACAACAATGGACAACAGCGACAACAATAGACAGCCACAAAAAGGCATACAGATTATTATTATTTCTTTTTACAAATAAGATGGCAAAAAAAGTAACAAAAATAGCTAGATTATAAGGCGAAGGTAGAAAACTAAAAACAGGAACATGTCTGCATTGGTCCTTGCCAGGAGTCCATCAGATTCTTAAAGCCACTTAGAGAGGTCAAGGTCGATGAATGCATGGACTAGTGTCTCAAGGTCGGGTCTAGACAGCACTGGCTTGAGCTTAGCTACCTGCCGCAGTTGGAAGAAGCTTCTCTGCAGAACTGAACTGATCTGTTTGTCGAACTTAAAATCTGAGTCAAAAACCACTCCAAGGTTTTTAACAGAGTGCTTCAGATAAGGATGAAGGGAGTCCAGGTTCACAGGATAAGAGGCGGCAGCTGAGCTAGGGCTAAAGACAATGACTTCAGTCTTCTGGTCGTTAAAACTGTAATGAACTACATTGATATGTAACGAGATAATATGCGTCTGATATTATCCTTCATTTAAACGGATTCTTTCATTTTTCTGGACAAAGTCATATCGTGCTTTGTGGAGTAAATGTGGACAGAGACGTGTTTAAATTTCTGACTCACCAACAACAGTGGGTCGTTTATTTTAAATGATTTAAAAACACATCACACATTTACATTAATTGGCAGATTGATTACAATTAACACAGCTTAATTAATGAGCTTTACAATGAGAAATCATACGGCCATGATTTCTCACTTGCAACTTAAAACAACAGACATATCCTTAGGTCTTAAATAAGTGTCTGCAGGCTTAGCTTATCTTTTACTGGCAGATAGAAGAGTTTTAAAGATGGGGAATGAAGGAGTTTAAATGGAGAGAAAAGATGTGTGAGGGAAAATGTGTTGACGAAGAACGACACCCTCCATCCGAACCCAGCTCTACCTCGGTACACTTCGGTAGTGGAAATCGACTCTTTACACATCTGAGTTCCACTCAGATGTGGAAGATTCCATAATCCCCACGAGACTCGGAAGAACTCCCACTAACTCCAGCCCTTCAGAACTTTCATTCGGTTCTGCTCCCAGAACTTCTGTTCTTCCCAGAACGTCGAACTCTCTCGGAACTTTGAACTGCTCTCAGAACTAGGAAGTGTCGACTTTTTAAAGAGTTCGCTTCTGGTCCCTTTTTGGGAAATCATGATTGGTTGAAAGAACCAACAGGGGTGTGTTTTTAGTGACGTCAGAGGGTCACTATATGTCAAGGAGACAGCGTAGATGTTTAAAAATATAACAGAAAGATGTTTTGAAACAGACAGACATTTAGGAGCCAGTTTCCTTCTATCAATCTGAGAGAGTTAAACATGACATTTCGTTCCGATAAACATGTTTGTGACTGTTCTCTGACTTTTGACCGACATCACTCCTTCTCATTTCAGACAGAAGATCAAAAATGCATAATTACTCTGTAACAGACATTAACTTGATTTCTACTTTGAATGAGGATTAAA